GACGATGGAGGCCTGGCTTGTGAAGCTTCAAAGGGAAACGGAGACTATCAGGGCTGTTCATGTGAGATTTTGGATTGAGAATCTGTGGGTTCTGGTTGGCTGGGGCTGAACAATCACCTGTGATTAAGAAGAGACCAGAGCCTGAAGCAAAACCTTTGCTTTACTAGGACAAGTGATGCTGGTTAGCTGGGGCTGAAAAATCAGCTGTAAGTAACAAGAGACCAGCATCACTGTGGTGGAGTCTTCTGGGAGGTATTTCCTCAGGGTTAGCACACAGAGGGGACCCGCACCTCTATTTCAAGCTGGAAGCAGGACTTGGTAATGTGTAAGAGTCTCCGGCATGGTTCTGGTGCTGAAGGCGTGAAGGGGTCACAGAGCAACTGAGGCTTGGCACTCTGAGAGGCCAGGAAAGGCCATAGGTAAAAGTGCAGCTTCAGTTGCAGCAAAGACCCCAGGATTGAAGGGGTCATGGGAGAATCTGAGGCTTTGCACCCAGAGAGGCAAGAAGAGGTCATTGGTGGTGTAGCCTCAGTTTCAGTGGAGACCCCAGCTTTTTGGAGATGCCGGGACCATGGGACGACCACCAAGGACAGCGGCAGGTGTGGAATGGAGCTGGCCTGGGTCTATGAGATGAGCTGTGTGTGCTGTGGATGGCAGAGTCAGAGAAGTGGAGCTGCCAGAACCCTATGGAGCCCAGATCGTGAGTAAATCCCAGACAGATGTCCAGCCTCGAGCTACTTTGCTGGACTTTGGTTTTGCTTAAGTGTGCCCAATTCTTCCCTTTGAAATAAGACAGTACTTGTTTTGGATTTTACAGAAGCCCACCCACAGGAGAGACTTTTAAAAGAGACTATGAACTTTAAAGTGTTTGGATTTTTTAAAGGACTGTGGGGTTTTTAAGGTTGTACTGTCTTAGGTTGTGATATTAACATCATATCTTGAGGACAGAATGTCAACTTGACACACCTGGGTTGAGGGAGCCTCAATTGGGGAATTGCCTCTATTGGACTGGCCTGTGGCCATGTCTGAGGGGCATCTTCTTGATGAGTGATGTGGGAGGGCCCAGCCCACTGTGGGTGGTGCCACCCCTGGGCAGGTGGGCCTGTGATACTTAAGAAAGCAGGCTAAGCAGGGGCCAGGGGAACAAGCCAGTAAGCAGCGTTCCTCCATGGCCTGTGCTCCAGCTCCTGCTTCCAAGTTCCTGCCCTGAGTTCTACCTTGGGCTCCCTGATGAACTGCAACCTTGGAGATGTAAGCTGAATAAACCCTTTCCTCCCCAAGTTGGTATTGGTCAGAGTATTTTGTCACAGCAATGAAGAACAAATTAGGACAATGGGGGAAAGATGGCATATTGTAACCCCAGCTCTTTGTGACTAGGAGGTCATTCCACAAAGAACGAAGACTCTGAAGACATTTTTGGAAATCTTGCTTCAATTTAGCAGTAAAGATACTTCATTCTTATTTCTATAAAATGTAATATCTATCATTTAAAAAAAAAAACATAGCTGGAGGTGGTGGCGCACGCCTTTAGTCCCAGGACTCAGGAGGCAGAGGGAGGAGGATCTCTGTGAGATCAAGGTCAGCCTGGTCTACATAGTGAGTGTCAGGCTGGGACTACAGGAAGATCCTGTCTCAAAAAGATAAAAAATATAAACAAAAAGACCCCCATAATATTCTTCTAAGGCTACCATCACAGAAGAGGTAGAAAGATTATAAGATCCAGAGGATGGAATGGGCCAGGGGGAAACAGTGTCTTCCAGACCTGACAGGACTGTTGTGCTCCTGAACTCACAGCAGCTGTGGCTGCCTGCACAAGATCTGTACAAGATCAAGCTGGTCAACATTTTAGCATGGAAAGGGAGGGATTCACAAGCCCCATCCCTAGCTGAAGAGCAACTGACAACTGATGGCTTCTGGGAGAGGGAGATTCAGTTTTTTTAAAGGTGTGGCCCCTGGTAGGTGGACCATGATCCAGGGGATGGCCCCACAACCATGGGAATATGGGTAGCAGAAGTTAAAATCAGTGAGATATAAAAAAAAGAAGAAATGAAGTTGGGAGGGTTAGGGTGGATCTAGGAGTTAAGAGGGACAGGAAGTAAATATGATCATAATACATTTTATAAATCTTTTTAAAAATTCTCCAGAAGTTAATTAAAATATTATATTAAAAATAAGGAAAACACATAATATCATAACAGCTAGCATTTACTGAGTAATTCCTAAAAATTAAGCACTGTGCCAAGAGCATTCCATTATCCCTACCAGTCTCTGAGGTAGGTACTTCTAGTATTCCTACTTTAGGGAAAGGGAAACTGAGACCTAGCAAGGTTATGTAGGTCTCATTACCACACAGTTATGTGCCTCCCCACCCCTCACCCAGTTCCACATCCCCAGAATCTGTATCTACAGATTTAATTAGCTTTTGATGGTATGTATTCAGAGAGAAAAAAACCCTAAAACCTGCATCTGTACTGACCACACAGATTTTATTCTTGTTATTTTCCCCTAAGCAATGCATTATAACAACTACTGACATGGCATTTACATTGTATTAGGGTTTGGTTTTTGTCTTTTTGGGACAGAGTCTCCCTGTAGCTCCAGTTGGCCTGGAACTCGCTATGTAGACCAGGCTGGTCTCGAACACACAGAGATCTGCCTGCCTTTACCTCCCAAGTGCTAGAATTAAGGGCCTGTGCCACCACACCCAGGATATTGTATTAGGTTTTATGCATAATCTAGAGATGATTTAGCATTTAAAGGAAGGCGTGTGTAGGCTTTATATGAATACTACAACACAATGTTGGTATCCCCAACATTCTAATCCCAATCTCCCAATAAGTACTAAGGGATCAGTATGGTCCTAATTTTTCAGATAAATAATGCTAATGATGATATGAAGAGGGAATTAGTAGTAGTTTATCTAGATACTGATTAATTTTAATTATATAAAGCTACTGGTCTGATATATTTTTTTTAATGTTTAAAAATCTCAATACTAGGGGCTGGAGAGATGGCTCAGCGGTTAAGCACACTGGCTGCTCTTACAGAGGACCAGGGTTTGATTCCCAATACCCACATGATGGCTAACAACTGTTTGTAACTCCAGTTCCAGGGAATCTGACACACCCTTCCAACCTCTGTGAGCAATTACATACATCCAGGCAAATACACTCGTACACATAAAATAAAATAAAAATAATTTTTTAAAAAATCTCAGTACTAACCTATATTTCTCTGAATTAGCGTGCACTCCTTCTCCTTTGCCAAAAAATGGCTTCTCCTGGAAACTTCAAAGTTAAAGCAATATTTATTCTTCCCCATGTCAAATAAAGTGCAGTTAAACACTGTTTTCCTCTCTCCCAGGGGCAGGCTGTTTTCAGCCAGCTGAGTAGTCCTCTCCCCCTGGTGTCTGGGGGGCTCTTTGTAAACAGCAACTACTCCTTGGACGAAAACACAAGGAGGAGGCAGCACCATCACCTCCACTACAGAGTCACATGTGAGTTCTGGTGCCATCATCAATTTGTATCCAAATTTCTGGGTCAGGTCAATGGGTCCTGTGGAAGTAATGACTGAGTCTTGGCCAAACAGCTTCAGCACCACAGTGACATAAGCTTCTGGCCCCACAGGTGCACAGCCAAACTCAACCCACTGGCCTTGAGTGAGCTCTGTCTTTTTGCTGGCTCTGATCTCCAGTGGCTGCCCCAGACTTGGTCTTGCCTCAGGAAGACTGTTAGTGAAGGTAACATCCACCAGCATGTCAGGTTTGTCCACAGGAAACAGGCAGAGTGGTTGATTGGTAAAGAGGCCCACTTGAAAGGTGCCTTCTGATGCCTTGGCTGTTCTATTCAAATCAATGTGAAAGGTGGGCCATTCCACCTTCAAAGAGGCACTTTTCTCCCTCCAGGGGACTTGAGTGCCATTGTCTGCCACTTCAGGACTCATCATAAACCAGTAGTCTCCAGCCTTCTTGAAGTAGAAGCACTCAAACTGGAATGTTCCCTGGGACTGGTTGGTTAGGAGATACTTGGTGGTCAGAGTCTGATTGGTGTTGGCCTCCCACAGCAGGACAGACACATTCCTCAGAGTCCCATTAACATTATCAAGATACTGGAAATCCACCGACACTGTGCTGTTGCTGAGTGCTACATGGTCCGGTGCTCTCAAGAGGAGATACTCAGCTTCTCCAAGGACTGAAATGAAATGTCAGAACTGGATTTGAAAAGGTGCATTTGAGCAGGGCTATTAGCATTACAGATGAAAAAAAGCATTTCAGACACTAGAGAAGCTGGAACTGAGCCAAGGTAGTTGGCTGGGTTCCCACCACTGGGTTCCAGTGGTAAAACGCCATACAGCCCCCGAGAGCTGGGCACAAAGCTTGTTCCATTCTAAGTGCTCTGTTCTATCACCACCTTGCATGTTTAAAATAATGAATTGGTGATAGGTACTCTAAATTCACAACATTCAGCATATAACTAAAATGAACATCTATAAAGATATAAGAATCATTGACAATTCTCAGACTCAAAACCTTTATTTCATGTTTCTTACATTAATCATATTCTGGTGTTTAGATATGTGGGGAAAATGTATATGCAACAGTTGAGAAAGTTTAATTTAAATGGCACAATACAAGCGACTGTAGATTATTTAAAATGTAGGAAGACCCTTAAGTTCAAAGTTATTATTGTCTAATATTCAAGACAAGCACTTGGGAATTTTTACCAGTAAAGGAACCAGTGTTCTCAGCTTGTGTGAGGAAGAAATTATCAGATGGATGAGGGATGCTATTTCTTTATTCTGCATGGGTCACACATAATAGCATGAACATTTCTGAAATAACTAGGCATATCCCTGGCAACTTTAATGACACTACAACAACTGGTATTGGCCTTGGGAGGACAGATGACTACTAGTCTCCCAAGTATCATTCAGGTACAATCAACCATATCTTTTAAAAAGAGACCCAGCAGAGCAGCTGAGGGAAACAGTACAAAGAACACAGACACACAAGAATCCTTGTTTCTTTTCTGAACCTGATCCAAGTATATATCAAAGCAGGCAGAATTTGGCAATGCAACAATCAGCTGGCCATGGCTGGGTAAGAAATTATTTGAGAATGAAGGAACTTCAGGAACCCTTTGGGCTTGAAAAGAAACTTGTATAATTATGAATTTATTATTATTACTGTATGTACCTCATCTATATAATATATACATATCACATCGCATATACCCAAAAGTGCTTACACATTTTTTGTTTAGGTGTATAGCCTTTACAACCCCCTTTTATGTATTTAATCAATAATTATGAGAATCAACATATGAATATACTAACACATGAGGAATTTTTTCTAATTAGATCGAACTTCATCTATTTCCTACTTGAGACTGAAATAAGATATATAAAGTGGGGGGCTGGAAAGATGGCTCAGAGGTTAAGATTACTGGCTGCTATTACAAAGGACCTGGGTTTGATTCCCAGCACCCACAAAGCAAGTAGCAACTGTCTGTGACTCCAGTTCCAGGGGAATCCAACACCCTCTTCTGACCTCTAAGGGCATTGCAAGACACAGGTACACTTACACACAAGCAGGCAATACCCATAAAATAAAAATAATACACAAAATATTTTAATAAAAAAGATAAAGAGAGCATTTAGAGATGAATACTTGATCACACTTACTTAAAAATCATAATGGGATAAAGATTTCTTGGTTTCATTTTCATATTTACAAAACAGAAGGTAAGGAACACACCCTAGATAATGTGAGTTGAGAAAAGTGCACTGATGGCTAAAGAGACCCTCCACTTACAGGCCATGCAAGGAGACCAAAGTCATTTTAAAGAGTTTTTATTTTTAACTCTGTGTGTGAGAGTGTGTGTGTGTGTGTGTGTGTGTGTGTGTGTGTGTGTGTGTGTGCGCGTGGTGCCTGAGGAGATACCAGATCCCTGTAGGTTGGAGTTCCAGGCAGTTGTGAGCCATCTGACATGGGTTCTAGGAACGAAACCCAGGGCCTCATCTGGACTAACCACTCAATCACTGAACCATCTCTCCAACCCCATTAAAGTCATTTTAATTTCAGGGTAGGTTGGTTCTACAGTGCATTTTTAAGATGAAGAGGAACAGGTTACTCAGTTAACTAAAAAGAGTGAGATTGTTTTTGTTTTGCTTTGAGCGAGGATCTCATGTAGCCCAGGCTGGCCTCAAACTCCTGATCCTCCTGTCTCTACCTCCCACGTGCTGGGATTACAAGTATGCATCACCCTGACCAATGATCTGGAGTTTATTACAAATGACAATGTCTGTCAAGGAGGCTAATCAGATTCTGATTTCTCGGGAGTCGATTAATAAAAAGGATACACATGCCCAGCTGGAAAAGGAGAACAAGGAAGCAATGCATGGGTCCCAGTGGGAGCAGCAGGTGGGAACTGTGCCCTGAAGGGGGACTTGCTATGGAACTCCAGAATTCCTGCTTATATGCAGGAGAAGGCATTTTTATTCTAAAGCCATGATCTGATCCTACCACATCCTGACCACTCTAGTATAGTTTTCTGTTCTTTCATTTCTCCCTCCTCCACTTATTATACAATTTAAAGTAACCGGTATATCCACATAAACACATGGATATACATATATGTGGATAATTTATAATGATATATTTAATTCATATCAAGTAGAGATGAAAAGGTGAAAAACAGACCTATGAAATATCTTTATAGCCAGCTGTGGTGGTGCATGTCTTTAATCCCAGCACTTGGGAGGCAAAGGCAGGTGGATCTCTGTGAGTCCAAGGCTAGCCAGGATTATACAGTGAGGCCTTGTATAGGAAAAAAACAAAAAAATACATTACAGAAAAAAAAACATACATTTCTGTTAATGGCCTGTGCCACTTAACCGCTACATTTATGTTCATTCAGTTTGTTTTTATATTGCATTAAGATGCTTTGCTCTTTTTTATATTTTATGTGTATGAGTGTGCTGCCTGCACGTATGTAAGTACACCTGTGTTGCTCGAGGAGGTCAGAAGTCAGATTCCCCTGGAACTGGAGTTATGGGCAATTGTTAGCCACCATGTGGGAACTGGGAATCAAACCTTGGTCCTCTGCTTTCTTAACCGCTGAGCCATCTCTCCAGCCCCAAGATGCTTTGCTCTTAACATCAACAAAATCCTAGCATGCTCTTAAGTGGAAAATTTTTGATGCTTTATCATCATGAAACCAAGAACGTGTAATTTGTGAAAGGCTGTTACATGTTTTTCAGTAGAGATAAATTAATTTAAAACAAATCCTACATTTGTTTTTCTTAAATCAAAGGTCTTCTTATTTAAATAAGCTTCTTAAAAAAGAAAAGTCTGGGGCCAGTTGAGATAGTTTGGCAGGTAAAAGTACTTCCTGTTAAACCCGATGAACTGAGTTCGATCTCCAGGGCCCACACAGTGGAAAGAGAGAACTGACTCCTGCAAGTTGTCCTCTGACATGCATATGCACACAAATAGACAGACAGACAGACAGACACACACACACACAGATACATAAATATAATAATATAAATAAACAAGTAAAAGGAAAAGTCTGGAAAAGGAGACCTACTGGCTAAAATGAGCTCAGAGTGCAGCCTGTTACACCAGTCTAGGTTCTCTATTTATTGGAACATAATTTCTACCTCACTCCTTTTATTTTGAGACAGTGTCTCACCCTATAACACTGGCTGGCCTGGAACTTAACATGTAGAACAGGATGGCCTGGAACTCTCAGAGATCCACCTGCCTCTGCCTCCTGAGTACTGGGATTAAAGGAGTTCATCACCATATCTGGCAATTTCCATTCTTATATCGCCAACTGCTTAGATGTCTACAAATATTTAGAAAATGTACTTAGAAAAGTAGTGACATATTATTGACCCTGTTGGTTCAATAACTGCAAAAATCTGAGAAGTGAACTCAAATTTCTATAGACACAAACTGAATGAAGCACTCATGACAGCACAAGCATTCATGACACTCTCTAGTCTTGATTTTACTAAACAACTCTGTGAAGTCAATACTAAAGCTAATGTGAAGTTGAGATTGAAAAAGCCTAAGGAAAAGTCTTGCATACATCTGGCAAGGACTTGAAAGGCAAATCGATTCTAAAGACACCGTTGGTAATAAGTGTCTCTTGTCAAGTCAAATCCTATTTAAAACCCCAATATACAAAACATCTGTGTGTATGTGTGCATATTAAGTGACGTAACACTGACTCACAGAGAAATCCATCAAAAAGAACTGAGGGCAAGTTGGCTACAATGACAAACATCAATACTCCCAAAAGTCAGGAGGAAAGAGGTTGCTCCAAGTTTAAGGACAGCCTCATCTACATAGCAATTTCTAGGCCAGCCACTGCTACATAGTGAGACCCTGTCTCAGATAAAGAGAGAAAGAGGAGGAGAGGGAGGACTTGATGTAACATGCTTTTTTTCCAGTTTTTTTAAAAGGTAGTGAGATTTTTTTATTTTAAGAATTAAAAATGTGTTTAAAGTGAAATTTGAATCAACCATTCAAAACCCTGAAGTACTTTCTGAGAGGGTAGGGTTTCAAGACCACAGTTTAAAAGGTAGGGCCCAGTTGACCTTATCCTGTTACTTCCATGCAGGATCATCAACATCAATGCATTTATAAACCTCAAAATTATTTCCTTATTGATACTGATGGCATTAAGTCTACTCACAATACTCACCATAGTCACAGAGCACCACCAACAACAGATTTGAAAAGTCTTTCAACATTGGTTTCATTCTGATCAGTAAAATCCCAGGACTTTGGTCTCCTCATGTCCCTTCTCACATCTAAATTGTGATGATTTTTTTTCACAAACACCTGTAATTAGAAACTCAAAAATGATGGTTCCATTCAATATGATTCATAAAACCAAAAATCATAAATGGCAAAAGGAAAAAAACCATAAATGACACTCATTCATAAAACAACAAAGCCAGGGACTGAGGAGATGGCTAAGGAATTAAGAGCATTTACTGCTCTTCCAGAGGACCAGCATTCAGTTCCCAGCCCACATAGATGGCTCACAACCTCCTGTAACTCCAGCTCCAGGTGATCCAACGTCCTTTTCTGTTCTCTGAGGGTACACACACACACACACACACACACACACACACACACACACAGAGAGAGCCATGAATAAAAAAATAAGAATCTTAAAAAAAACCAGCAATAAAGCCATTCTAAGAAATCAAATTTTCTCTAGACAGGACACTAATATTCCCTGGGTAGTGGCTGGTAATTATAGAAGTCCCTTCAATTTCGTTATAGCTTACCTAGCCCAAGAACATTCGGATAAGTCAAGACTATTTTTGCAAAACACCAAAAATCTTTGTAGTATATTCATAAATGGAGAGAGCTAATAGTCAATCTGGATAAGATACTGTCACACTGTTTATATTGCTGGGTGTTTCACACTGATTAACTTAGTAAAATTTTCCAAACTTTCATTTAACACTATGCTATGTATCCTCAAACCCTCCATACATGGCTCCCACAAATGGGCTATTACTACTTGCTTGCAAAATTGGTGTATTTCTCTGACTGCTTTTTTTTTTTTTTTTTTTTAACAAGGTACTTCTGTAGTCCCAGCTGTCTTGGAACTCCTTATGTAGACCAGGCTGGCCTTGATCTCACAGAGAACCACCTGTCTCTGCCTTCAGAATGCTGGGACTAAAGGTGTGAGCCACCATGCTTAGCTGATTACTTCTTGATACCCAGTATATTACAGTTACATGTGAACTCCATGTGGCCCTGGCTTTTCATGTTTAGTTGTTCAAGGAAAAAATAAGTAACAATTATCATCTCCTGTCAATCTTCCAATCCTTGCTGGTATGTATCAGGAGATAGATGATTCATGCAGGAATCTTCCCAGACCACCTATAAAGGGCAGGGAAGACCTTTCTGTGCATTTTAAGAAGAGGGAGACTAGACTACTAAACGATATCATAAGACATGGGCCATTTGGGGGCTGGAGAGATGGCTCAGCAGTTAAGAACACTGGTTGTTCTTGCAGAAGACCTGTGTTCAAATCCCAGCACCCACATGGCAGCTAACAACTGTCCGTAACTCCAGTCCCAGGGGATTCAACAGCCTCTTTTGACCTCCGTGGGCACTGTATGACATGGGTGCACTTACATGCAGGCAATACATGCATAAAATAAAAATAATAAAATAAAATAAAAGACATGGGCCATTTAAAGCTAGTTTTTTCATACTAGAATCTAACAAAGTATGTTCTATTTAAATATAACTAAATATATATTTTTCTTAATGTTTATAGTACCCTGTTATAGATAGGTTTTTTTTTTTCTTGTGGTGCTGGAGATTGAACCCAAGGCCTCATACTGGCAAGGAAAGTACCATTGAGCTACATCCCCAACCCCATAATTAATAAATAGGCAAGTACATAATATTCCAAACACATTACATCCCTGCAGATAAGAACAGAAATTAACAGAACTACACAGGCTGATTGAAACAAGCCAAAATTCAACGGAAAGGAAACTGGTGTGTCTCTATTAGCTTTCTTTCAGTAAGAGCTAGTTGAACAAAGGAAATAGTGCACTTCCCGAAGGGAAGCAGAGATTTGCAGTTTAATTACGCAGAAGATGTGGGCTCCCTCTACTCAGCACACAAAACAGAAAACTCTGTTTTGGTCGAACTAGCTACAGACTTGATCTAATTGTTTCCTAGAACTTAGGGAACTGGCTAAAGATTGCGATGACTGACAGAAAGCATCTTCCAGCCAGGCATGGTGGCCCCAGCACCTCCAGTTCCCCAGGATCTGAGGCAAGAGGCTGGCCTAGAGGGAAGTTGACAAAAACCTCCCAATCTCTCTGGTTCCTTCAGTCAGTGACACTCAACAACCTAACTAAGCAGCCACCTCCCAAAAATTGAGTTGGGCTTTCCAAAACTACTTGCTTCTCCACTACAATATTTTTTTAAGTCTTTAATCATAACTGATTTTGTGACTGAATTTTCTTACTTATGAAAATGAGCAATCAGACTTTTGTGATAATCTGTATTTGGAGCTCAAGAGAATGGACTTACAAAAGAAACAAGTCTATTTGTACACTGTAACATGGATTATGATAATCACAACACACTTCTTTAACTTTTTTATCTGCCTGCTTATTTCCTTTCAACACATTCTCAATTCTCTGAGTAGTTACTGAGTAGAATATTTGGTCTGAGGATCATTTTAAGAAAAGAAGTTGAAAGAAGAAAGAAAAAAAAAAAAGGCAGAAGCCAGGTGTGGCACACACCTTTAATTCCAGCACTTGGGAGGCAGAGGCAGGTGGATCTCTGTGACTTCGAGATCAATCTAGTCTACATAGTGAGTTTCAGCCAGCTGGGGCTACAGGGAGACCCTGTCTCAAAAAAAAAAAAAAAAAAAAAAAGTTTTCAACACATTTGAAAACACCTTGTATAGAGCCTGGGTTTTGGCTCAGTGGTAGAACGCTTGCCTAGCATGTGTGATGAGAGGCCCTGGGACTGAGCCCTAGCACCGTGGGAGGTGAGAGGCAACTCACACACACATAAAGGTTTATGGACAAATTGTGTAAGTACCAGCTGGGAAGATGAAGTGTAAACATGCTCAATGACTAACAGAATCACCCAACCTCAGAGCCATGTTTTCCCCGAAACCAGCTACATAAACGTATCACAGCTACAAACAAGGATATCCAGTGTCCACAGGACATTATCAAGGAATGAAAGATAAGAAGCTGAATGATTTTACAAGCAAGACTCTTTTTTTGTGTGTCTAGCGTACATCGGGGAAATCCCGACCCCAAAGCCCCGCGTGTTCCCTGGCTTTAGCTTCTCGGAGGCCACTCCGGTGCCCAGCGGGGTGCTGCTCTGGGGCAGCCCGGGGTCCAGGCCACTCTGCTTTCCTACCGCAGCAGGTCAAGTTCACGCTCGGAAATCCGGCCGGGGTGGTCTGAAGATCATCTCCTACTGCTAGTATCCCAGAAAGATTTCTTTGGGGGAAGAAACAAACTTAGCCCGCCACCCTTGGTATCGGCCCCCAGTTTTCGAAGACCCGGGCCAGCGGGGCTGCACTCTGCCCGCGTGGGTCTCGGCCACACCTGCGCGGGGCGGCTCGGTGGGATCCACGGTCCCCGAGCGCGGAGCCCCGGACACCGCGTCCGCCTGCGCTTTCCCGACCCCCGCGAGCCTCCCCGACCCGGCTCTTACCTCTGGCGGGGGACGGGGGCTGCGGCGGGCGCCTCAGCGGCCGCGGGGCAACGCCAAGCATCCCGCGTCCGGGACTGCGCGCCCCGACCCTCCGCGGCTCCCGCAGCCCGGCCGCCCCGCCCCGGACGACACGGAGGCGGGCACGCGGAGGGGGTCAATCGGCCCGGAGGTCCGCCCCGCCTCCGCCCCTTCTGGGCAGCGCATCCTTTCCTGTCCTGCCCGCCTCCAGCTCGCCCGCCGGCGGACAGGAAACCCGGAGGAAACGCGGGCCCAAGGCCCTGCGCGGGAGGAGGTGCGGTCCCGCCGCGGAGCCACCAGCACACACCCGCCCACAGCCCGCTGCCCAGATACAACCTGCAGCTGCCGCACAGTTCACATCCAGTCACTGCTCCCCTAGGAGCCTCTTTTGGAGGCCACAAGAAAAGCCAGTAGGGGTTGGAGAGATGGCTCAGCAGTTAAGTGCACTGGCTGCTTTTGCAAAGGACCAGGGTTCGGTTTCCAGGACTCACAAGGTAGCTAACATCTCTCCTTGACGCCAGTTCCGCGGCGCCCTCTTCTAGCATCCGTAGGCACTGCACACTTGTAGTGGACTCACATACATGCAGGCAAAACACTCATATAAAATTTAAATTTAAATTTAAAAAGCCACGAAAATGGCATGAATGATCTGTAAATTTGCTTCCCAAATGTAACTGGAGGTTCAAAAGAACAGTTCAGATAAAGTGCATCTTCCTTGAAGCCAGATTTGTTTAATGAGATTTAAAACATTTTTAAAAGACCACTCTCTGCAGGTGTTGAAGTTATCTTTTTAAAAGAATGAGAGCGCGAATTTCACATGGTTTAAGAGCTGTGCTTGCCATGAATAGTGTGCAGTAGTGTTTACTGTTCACTTTCTTGTACACAAACCATTTAACAGATCTAATGTGTGCTAACAGCCCTTGGAGAGCCAGTGACCAGAAAGGTACCAGAGAACTTTGGAGTGACACATACCATGTTGGTTATGGAGTCGATTGCATTAATTGACTATGCATTTGTCAAAACTCAACTGACTTAGCCTGGTGTGGTAGCACACACCTTTAATCCCAGCACTCAGGAGACAGAGTTCCAGGCTAGCCTAGTCTACATAGCAAGTTTCAGGCCAGCCAGGGCTATGTCCTAGTAAGACCTTGTCTCAAAACAAGCAAGCAACAACAAAAATCACCTCATCTGATTTGTCCTGTTTAGGGCTGAGCACTCTAAAGTCTCTTATTCTCTGCCCATTGACCAGATGTGGGTCTCTGTGCCATCTACTGCAAAAAGAACCTTCTCTGATGAGAGCTGAGAGATGCACTCATCTACGAGTACAGTGATAAGTCATTAGGAATTAGTTAAATTCTATGTCCATTTAGCAGAATAACACTGGTAGAATCTCCTCTAGGGTCTATGGTCTATCTAGCCACAAGTTGTTGGCCCCAGTAACAGTGTCAAGTACAGATTCCAATTTGAGGAACAGGCCTTAAATCCAATCAGAAAGTGGTTGGTCACTCCCAAAACATCCATGCCACTATAGTACTGGTGGGCATATCTTGCCAGGCCAGTTGTTATTGTAGCTTGAAGGGTTCAAAGCTGAGTAAGACTGATGATTACTCTTCTCTTCCAGTAGTATGCATAGCATCTTCCAGCACTACGAAAGCTAGCCAGGGAGGGATGAAGCTTCAAGGTCAGTACCAGCTTGATCTCTCCATGGTCTATGACAAGTATATAGTGTCATCAGCAGTAGGGTCTTACCATCAAGTTCTGGACAATGACCAAGAGCAATGGCAATAGCCAGTAATGTTGGTGAGGTGGTCAATGGGACCAAGATGTAGCCCATTCCTGGCACTGGGCTTTTTATTTGCTAGCCTGTGGTGTCTGGCAGGGGCATTGTGCTATCTATGTCCCACACCCCCTCCCTGCTCACAGGGTAATTTCCTTTCTATCAGACCCCTCCCCCAGCTTAGAGGAGCCAGAAAGATTGTTAAAAGCCAAAGGCTAGGAGCTGGAGAGATGGCCTAGCAAGTAAGAGCACTGGCTGCTCTTAACAGGAGACCAGCATTCACTTGGTGGCTAACAAGGGTCTGAAACTCCAATTCCTGGGGATTCAATCCCCATTTCTGGCTTCCGTGGGACACAGGTGCACTTACACACATGCAAGCAAAACATTCATGCACATAAAATAAGTAAAATTAATTTTTTTAAATTAAAAAGAGAGGCCAATGGATAACCATAATGAAACATTGTTCTCTGGACACAGTAGGATAGCTGCACATATGAACTCACAGCAATCCTGACACAATGCGTAAGACCTATGCAAGCTCATGCCAGACAAAATCCCAGCATGGAGGGAAAAGGTAGACAAAGTCCAACCTCTAGCTAAGAAGCATTTGGCATTGGTAGTTGCTGGGAGAGGGAGAGTCAGTTTCTTTAAGGGTGTGGCCCCTCCTGATGCTCCAGTGATGGCCACACACCCAAGAGTATATGGAAGGATAAACTGGACACAATGGGCTTTTAAAAACTGAGGACATGAAGTTGGGTGGGTAGGGAAGGGGGTAGATCTGGGAGGAACTGAGGTGAGTATGATCAGAATATATATGAAATTCTCAAAAAATTCTTTAAAAAAAGGCCTCATTGATGGAGCTGGATGTGGTGTATATACCAATAATCCCAGTAACTGGGAAGGCTGAGGCAGGAGAATTTCAAGTTCTTGTCAGCCTGGGCTACATAATGAGTGTTTCCAAAAGAGGGTATGGGGTGACAATAGAGCTCAGTTGGAAAGCACTTGCTTAGTAAGCATTAAGCGGGGGGGGGGGGGCTCTGATAAGATTTGTTTATAAATTTCATTTCAGTTTTTTTTTTCAAAGTTTTAAAATACATCATTTTGCAGATAGTTCAATCTACCAGCATGTATTTAAAAGACAGCAATGCTGGGCATGGTGGTGCATGCCTTTAGTCCCAGCACTGGGAGGCAGAGGCTAGTGGATCTCTGTGAGATTGAGGCCAGCCAGGTCCAGATAGTGAGTTCTAGGCCAGATGGGGCTACAGGGAGACCCTGTCTCAAAAAGACAAAAAACAAAATAAAATACAGCATAAGCCAGGCGTTGTGGCACATGCCTTTAATCCCAACATGTGGCAGGCAGAGGCAGGCAGACCTCTGTAAAACTGAGGCTAGCAGCCTGGTCTACATAATGAGCTCCAGGCCAGTTGGGGCTACAGAGACCTGGTTGCAAAAACAAAACAAACACAATAAAAGTCGGCACAATTAGACATTTATATGTCATCAGAGATCACTAATTTTCTAAGAACTAATTCACTATATGGTTGATACTAGCACTACTAATTAAGTTCACTCAATCAAAGCTTCTAAGGAAGCATTAAAGTCATCCAGTTTCATTGCCATCAAAATTATCTAGTTTAATATCTATTTATCAACTCAAGTTGGGATTCCTTTCCAAATACATGCCACATAGTCTATGAAACTTTTGGTTTTGAAAGCAAAAACTCAGTGGAGGGACTGAAAATGACTCAGCAGGTAAAGTCACTTGCAGTCAAGTGTTATGACCTAAGTTCAATCCCAGGATCCATATGGTGGAGAACCAGCTCCTACAAGTTGACCTCTACACATCTGATATGGCACACACATGCTGCCTACAACAAACAAATAAATAAATAAGCTCAGAGGAAAGAGAGAGCTTTGGAGTTAAATAAAGCCTGAATTTTAACCCTGCCTTTGTAGTCATGGATTGCTTAATCCCCTCTTTTCTCCACCATAAATGGCATATAGTGAAAATTGTATGCCAATTAAGTGAAACATAAGCAACTTGCTCTGCATTAACTTTTCCAATGCACTCTCTCACCAAAAAGCCACTCTTTGGGAATGAGAAGACCTAAATTCATGTACATTTTTAAAATAACAGCTTTTCTGAGATGCTTATTTTTGTCTTAATTATACTTCACACCAAAGTGTATCACTCTCTTTATTGGACAAATACGATAAAGTCTTTCCTGAAATAAAGGCAACATAAAAAGGGGGAAAAGTTTTCCAAAGGACAGTAGTATGATCTTGTTAGCACTGAACTGGCTGGGATGTAGCTCAGTGGTAGAACACTTAGGGACGCTACCAAATACCAGGCCAAGGGTTCTAAGCCCTGCACACTGAGTTCTTTCTGGGTCAGCAACTACTCTAGTGATCTGTGCAAACTGTGTAAAACTTATATACTCAATAACTCCTTATATACAAATGATATTTATTTTCCTAGGCAATGCTGAGAGTCATAACTGACTCATGATTTCATATCAGGATACAAAGAAAAACATAAATGACCCAATTTTTATACTGTAATAACAGCCTGTGAAAACAAGATCTTACATGTGTATAACCTGACTTTTCAGGAGTGCTTCCCATGCCAAGGATATAGCTCATGTCTTAAAATTTGAATAAGAAACATGGGATCGAATAGCTCTTTCCTAATTGGAAATCAGTTGGAGAACTGGAGTCAGTCCTGATGCTGCCATGGCTTCTGTTTCCTAGAAGTCGGTGTGAACATACCCGCACAGGCTTTCTTTTCTCCTTTTTAACTGTACAAATCCAGACAATGTCAGGGAGACAGGAAAATGAACTTAAATTCTCAGTCTTTACCGAAGCTGTTTAGACAACACCACCTTTTCCTTGATCAAGGCTGATTGTTTTTAGGGACATGTTTTACAGTAGTTTTTTTTTTTAATTAAAGTAAGTGCCATGATGTTATTCTTCATAAACATTGCTCAGCCATCTTTGGGAATAAGGATGAGGTATTTCCTGTTGGAGGGCAATGGAGTTGGTTAATAGCCTATTATTTCTTCAGGAAGAATATGTTTGTATTGTTTGTGTTACTTATTTATATGTTCCTGTATGTGTGTTTGAGATCTAAAGGTGTCATCTCATTTGCTAATTGTTACTGTAATTAAATAACAAATTGGATAAGATAGAGTAGATCTCAAAGAGGCTGAGCTATGACCAGTCTGGTTGGAAGCCGCTTGGGAAAAGGGTAAAGGACACAAATTTGGGTTTGCTGGTCAGCTCCAGACAGTACTATATGCCAAGAGTCATTCAGTACAATTGAACAGTCAATTAGGATTTTACTGAGTATAGTCACTGATGCAGGACAGAATTAGGATTCAAAAGAAGTGCTATAAAGTGGACCGTCTTTCAACTTAAACTTAGTCTGTTTTCTTGTGGCATCGAAGCAAAAGTTAAAAGAACAAGACAAAATATAATCAAGGATACGGGAGAGACAGTAACTCTCACAGACTTCAGAAATAGAGCTATATACAGAAAACAGGTTTTTCTAGAGCACGCAGAATTGTGCAAGGTATGATTTGGGCTACTGTGCGTAAGTGGAAGTCAGTAATGAAAGAAAGTCTGGACAGACCAAGGGAATATGCCAGGAACAAGACCAGCCCTTTTCACTTGCTGGCATTCTTCTGTCTTTGTGAGACTAGCTTACCAGGCTTTTCCTCACCTACGAAGCCTCCAGTGTCTTCCATCAAAAATGAAGGCTCCTTAAATCAGGCATGTGGTACACACTTGCAATATTAGCACTCAGGAGACAGAAGCAAGAATAAGGCTACATAGTGGACCCTGACTCAAAACAAACAAAAGCAAAGCTAAAGGCTCCTTCCTCCGAGTTCCTTAGGATGGTACCTGTGCCCCTTCTGTGACACTTTGTTCCACCATCAATGGAAGTTGCTTCTATGACTGTTTTGCCAACGAGGCCACCTTCTTCTTTGCATCCTCCCCACTTGCACAGTGCGCCACAAAGTTCCCCACATAATATTCCTATGTATTCCAGAAAACAGTCTTTTTAACTGAATTCAATGAGAATTAAAGTAGGATAAAGTACAGTCAAATTATCAATAAGCATCAGTTCATTTATTCAGTAAATATTTATTGAATGTTTTCTGTGTGCCAGCCCATGTTCCAGACTCAGAAATATATCCACGAATAAATCAAATAAAAATCTGTCTTTGCTAAGCTTGTAGTCTACATCTATCATAAAGGATGTGGTTGGCAATAAATTACATAAATCCAATCATACTTAAGAAATATATACACATTAAAACAGCATGAGTATTGCTATAAATCTGCTATTGGTATGCACATAATTATACTGTGTATGCATAATAAATTCATACTGACATATCATTCCACAGGGACTCACACTGTAAGGTCATAAAGAGAACTTTATTGGCAATGTAAGAGATTCATCTAGGATCATTTTGAGCATGCTTGATTTTGACCTTAGGCAAAGTCTTTAAAACCTAGTCACTTTACAGGTTGTGACTCCACTGTACCAAAATGAAGATACTGAGGCTGTTGGGCAAAAGTCAACTGTTTTACGTATTTGAGTCTGAGAGTGATGACAGGATGAACCCATGCTTTGGTCAGCGGAGTCTGGTCACAAGAACACATTGACATGACTGCATACAGTTGGTCCACAGTGAAATTCGCATCAAGAGATAAAAAACCAGCTCATGACTAATTTCCCATCTTTAAAGATAACCAAAATTATAAAATCTCAAAGACATAAATATTCGTAAACAATGCTTAATTATAAAATAGAAAGAAAAACTCTTAACATACTGGCTTAGTATGACCAAAGGGTTATCCATGTCATGTATTTTCAGAGTATTTTTAAAAAGAACATCAAGTTAATAAAATCAGTTTAAAATTTTGCAATAATTTTGGTTTATATACATTAATACCAATCATTTAACCTTGAAAACAACGTTCAATTAGACAATGTAAAAATTTTTTTCTTGACAGTGACTAAAAATATTCCATTACCATAAAGTTACAAAGAGATCCATGCTCTTCGGAGCAAAGTTAGGAAAGCAAAACTCATAATTATACAGTGATGAGCACCAAGATAACGTTTTTGCACTTAGAGCCTGATTGGTTATATTTAGACACAGCCTATACCAATAAAGGACCAAAATTACACATTTGGTTAAAAAAAAAAGTCAGAAATATAAGCCAAGGTCTGGAAACAGTAAAGAATGTCCACTTTAAAAATTTAAAAAACAGTTTTTAGTGTGACAATTGTAAAGTATATTCATGTCACTTTTCTTTACCTTCAATTCACTTTATACAAATCAGATTGCTCCATTTTTTTTTTTTTTCAGAGCTGAGGACCGAACCCAGGGCCTTGCGCTTGTTAGGCAAGCGCTCTACCACTGAGCTAAATCCCCAACCCCTGATTGCTCCATTTTTGTTAATCTGTTGTCATACTGAAGTCAACAAATGTGTTGAAATATGTACATTTATTGTAATGAATCCAAACCATCAGGGCTAGATCCAGCAGCTCCTACAACTTTACTTAACAATCAATCCAGGTGGTGGAACAGATTATCATTAATCTGTTGATTTTAACTACCTAAGTCAGATGAGGGGTGTGTGGGTGTGTATGTGTGTACATGCGTGTGCCAGTCACAAAACAGACTAAGTATAACCCAGAGAGAGGTGAGACAAACAAACTCACACAATGGCCCAACCATCCCCTAAACAAGTTGGGTGGCCAGACACTGAATTACCCCCAAAATAAACCTGAGGCTGAACAATGAGGTAATTAGGGGATATGTCGTCACAATTAAGAGTCAGTGACAGGTATGAAAAAGAACACTAAAGCAGGCTGCCTCTGCCACAGTAATGGGGACAACGGAGGACAGCAGCAGCAGCAGCCACTTTGCAGGAAGGGATAGGGGTGAGGTTCCCTGGGTCTGTAGCTGAGAACAATGGCACTTCCACAAAGGGCATCTGCAGTGACCTCCACCTCGTCCGGTGAGAATGTCCTCAAGGTCCTAGAAAGTGCACCTGGGCATCCCTCCCCTTGTCCTCATGTGACACCATCACTACCCTTCCACTTCGAACTCCATCTCAGAAAGGTAGTCTCCTCCGGTCTGGTGGGCTCCCTGAGTTTGAGGTAATGTTAACATGGTATATGTGGTAGAGCAGTAAAATGAAGTCAGGCAACTGACTTTAAAACTCCAGCAATCTACAGGCCAGTTTCTGTTATCAGTAATACTTTTTGCTGAGATGCTTTCTTGAGTTCTCCATGTGTTTCTTCACACAACTTACAACATGTAGGGCATAGAAGAAAAACATATGGCTGGATATGATAGAAAAAAAATTTTTAAGTTCAGTGTTGAAACTCCTTGAGAAGGTAAAGGAGGTCTGTTAATTTCCTACTTCCTATTTCACATCCTTGGCTTCCAAGTCAAAGGGCACTCAGAGTCATGGAGTTTCTGAGAGGTTCCTTCTGCTCTTTCATCTGCACAAACAATTCTAGGGAATTTCAGAACCACCTACTTCTTAGACTCTACTGTGGGCATGCTTCTATAGCTGTTTGATTCAGTTTTGAAGTCCACAACATCTTTTAAACAAAACGATAACTGCATTCTTTAAAAATGCCAGTCATGAAATTATTACATTAAAAAAATAAAAAGAATCTAGTTGGAGTATATTGACTTATGTCAAATAACATTTTCTTACTCTCTCTTTTTCCCTTTATTTGGGCACTAGGTATGGAACTCATGGCCTCCCACATGCTAGGCAAGCGCTCTACCCAGAGCTATAGCCCCAGCCTCTCCTGTTTTGAAGGCGTTTTACTGGATCTGGTGGAGGTGTTCCTCCGGCTGCTTTAGAAACCTGCAGGAAGAGCCTCACCTGGCATTCTGCAGTTTGCTATTTGGTGCCAGGGCTTCAGCGTCTTAAACTATGCTGCAGGTATGACTTTGTTCATGAAACCTCCAAGATGGGCATATCAGACACAGAGAAAAACATTTACAATTCAGTGAATTTTAGTTACAGCAAAATGATTATCTATTCTATCCAAACATGCAACTTCACTTTTTCTTCCCCCAAGGACCTAAATTCAGGGATCAGATGAAAATCCACCAGGTTTCAAGTTAAATTCTAAGAGTTCTGCACAACTGTGGCATGACTTTAAATGTATATTTGCACTCATTTTTCTGTATTTTCCTATATATGCCCTAAATAACTTTCTGAAACCTTAATTTTAGGAAATGATTAAGAGTTTTATATTATATTGTGACATTCTAATGAATTCTCAGTTTATTCAGGGTTTATCTCTTAGCTCAGTGTCATATAACCTTGACACAGTGCAAGTATATGGACAAAAAGTATTTCAAATACAAAATTCTTAGCTCTGTGTCATAAATAAATTTGGATAAAACCGTAAGCCTTCCACTGAGTCATCTCGGCAAAGATGGCCCATCTTCTCTGCAAGAAGCACCCCTTCTTTGGCCAGTAGGACAGACATTCCCACAAGTTTAGCAAATTCTTCTGATGTTAAGGATCCCTTTTCTAAAATCATCTCTAGGACCGAGGCCAACATTTCTTCTTCTTTATGGTATTGAAGCTCAATTATCATGACACCACTGTCAAAAACTGAGAGCCTGCGAGGCAATTTCAGCTCTTCCAGCATCTTGCAGGCATGCACTAAATCTGGTGAGAGCAGTTCCATTTCTTGAGCTCAGTTTAACTAAACAGTACACCTCTGTGAGTGACATTATTCCCCCCCATTCCTCTAAAGGTGCCTTCAATATTCCAGCCAACTGCTTGACAAGTCTTCTCTGCAAGAAGCAGCCTAGGAACAAAGAGGAAAAAACCCACAATTATCTTCCCATTCAGAAACAAACACACATACATCATGATGGGCAAGGGCTCACTCACCTTTCTTTGGCCAATAGGACAGACATTCCCACAAGCTTAGCAAATTCTTCTGATGTTAAGGATCCCTTTTCTGAAACCTAGTAGCAACACACATCAGAAAAAAAAAAAAAAAACATTATTACTTTAGTAGACCTCACTACTAACATTAAGAGTAATATATATCATCATATACAGGAAATAATTCACTGGATTTTCTACAGAAGTCAAGTAGTCACTATAGAACTGTCTCAATTCACTATAGCTGCTCAATTCTACAGAGGTTGATGGAACAGAAGCTAAGTACTAACGTGGAACTGTTTGTGATATAAGAATGCACTGGACAGAAGCCTAGAAAGAACTATTAGATATTCTGAAAGGATATAGCAAACTGAGTGTCTATGACATGCTCCATCTGGTACAGAGCCCATAGTCAGAGTTGGTTTAGTAAAGGAGCCGAGCTGAAAACCTGAAGCTGATGGTTGTTAGCCACCATGTGAGTACTGGGATTTGAACCCAGGTCTTCTGCAAGAACAGTCAGTGCTCTTAACCACTGAGCCATGTCTCCAAATATGGCTTTTCATTAAAGTTAAATTCAACAGGAAGTCCTGTTCCTCAAGTCACTAAGAATTTGGATCTTCATGGCAAGCTCTACTGACTGTAGGAAACCAGGTTCACATACCGTCTCCAGGGCCGAGGCCACCATTTCTTCTTCTTTGTGGGACTGAAGCTCAATTACCATGACACCACTGTCAAAAACCCGGAGCCTGAAAAGCAGAGATGCGAGAATACAGTGATGATTCATCTGGGCTGCTCAACCACAAAGGAGGAGCAGATTTGGTCTACTTTATTTTATGCCCAGGCATGAGGAC